CGAACTGATAAGTTCTAAAATATCATCTAGTTGACAAGATGGAGTAATAAAATCCATTAAGGAACAAAGAGAACAAAAGAAAGATGTTGGCGATACAGTAATAGATGCATTACAAGATTAAACTTTAAAATATAAAGTTAGAATATATCTTCTGACTCATCAATTGAAACTCTAGACAAAAAAAGAATGGAAGACATTAGTTCATTGGGCATAGTGGTAACATTACCTTTATAATCATATAACGTAAATAAAACTAATAAAAAATTATAACAATATGCAAAATATAACGAGTTACTTCAACTAATAATTACATTGATAAATTTTTAAATAAATTGGCACATTTTATTTAAAATTTATATTTGAAGTTCGATTTAGAATATTGTAATATTTTTAGAGATATAAATGATTTGTGTAATCTGAGAGATATTGTTACTGATAAATCTTGAATTGAGTTCGATCTTTATTGGACAAGGCAATTTTTAGAAATATGCCTAATTGTGTAATTTGTATATATGCATTGTGCGTATAGGCATGCGTGCGCATGCATGTGTGCATACAGTTTATATATATAAACTTATGTATACTTATAAGTATATATATATATATATCGCATGTCCGTGCATGTTATGTTTGTTTATTTTATTACAGATTTTTGGAGTAGTAATTATTTTTTTAATGTAATTTATTTAGATATACAATTTGGTACACCATTTTCATAGAACTATTTTAATATTTTCAGAATACATCGACGATCTTTTTGAAAGCCAATCTAGAATATTTACGAGGAAATAACGCAGAAAGGCAATACAATTTTTGAATTCTAAAATGAAAGAAAATTTAGATTTTAAGTATGTTGTATATGTTAACTACAAATTAAATTAATGCGTAAGGCAAAGACAAAAATCTATAGATATTCTTAATACTTATACAAATTGAAACGGTCTAATTTCATCTATCTTGGATATTTCTACTTCTTTAAACAATATGAAAGATACAATGTAGGAGAAAGAGAGAAAAAAGAACTTTGTTATCAAAGAGAGTATATAATAAGACATACATAATGGAGATGTGACAAAAGGAATATGTAAATTAAATTAGGAATATTAAATTTATATAAATGAAAAATCCAATACATTGATTTCTGTAGAAATAATTATATTTGTATATCTGTATATAATCCATCATTCTTTTTATCTTTGTTTAAGAAGGCGCGCACGCGTATATGTTGTATATATAGTCTGTTCAAATTTGTACATTTACCTTATGCAATATCTCTCGCAGTGTATAATAGAATATAAAATTTTTCTTTTTATATAGAAATAACCTAATCTTTCTATATTGTTTAAAATAAGTGGAAACACATTTCAAGTATAGATAAAATTATTTTGTCTGATTCTAAAACACATTACGTAAATATGTGATTTAGATTGTGTGGCGAATCTTCTGCCGTTTTATTTTACAATAATATGGCATGTTTGCATCTTGCGATGGGTAAGCCGACTTTGGCTTCTTCTTGTCTTCAGAGAGCTTTGCGTGCAAATAAAAGTGCGTTGGAGAGCATGCAAGTCAAAGATACTGGTAATCCTTAAAATTATTTAATACAAATTAAACGTATTGCATTTGAATTCATTTTGATTTATATTTATTTTTTTAATATTTGAGAGATTTTTATATTGTTTCTGTTATATTTAAAAATTACGACTGTTTTAATGTTTTGTTTTCAAATATATTCATAAAGTATGAAAAGCAAAAAGGTATTTTATTAAAAAATTGCATCAAGATATCAGAATATAGATCAAAATTAAGGTCAAAATATGTTTATAGTAACAAACTGTCAATCATATTTTTAGCATATGTATATATGACATTAATGAAAAAAAAAAAAAACTTGTGCAGATCCCTTATCTTCTCAACCGTTATATACGCTCGGTGGTAATAAACATAATGAGCTAATGTACAGTTTAGGCGTAACATTGTTGTACGCTGGTAAAGCGTCGAAAGCCTTTGATTGCTTCACAGAAGTGGCACAGAGAGTACACAATAATCCTAAACTTTTGCTTAGAATGGCAGAATGTTGTATCTACAATCATAAATATGTAAGTTATAATTACGATATTGATATTCTATTTTTAAACAATAGCTTTTTCCTAGTTAACATTGATATTTTGTAGATATTCTTCTAATTAATTTAATGAATATGTACAATGAAATCATATGTGATATTCAACAATCTTGTTAATGTGCAATCTTATTGCCTATTTTTCAGTCAAACGAAATCGATTTTGATATTTCAAAACGACGTAAAGATTTAGTGCAAAAAATTATAGGTTCTGGTATCCATAGAAAAATTATATTAGCCACATCTCTCTCAAAAGATGTTAGATATTATTCCGAAGGTCTATCCTATGCAATTCCACAGCCAACATTAGAATTTGGGTACTTGTGTCTAAAAAATGCACTACTTTTACTACCGAACAATAATGAGCCGAATGTACCTGTAACAACTATGGCGAATTCAGTACCATTATCATTAACGTCTGGTCACAATTTAGGTACAGATCGTACTTGTCACCTATGGTTAAATTTAAACGCACACGTGTACAAATTTTGTTTAATTATTTTAGGTATTCAACATGCAGCATTAATATCACGAGCTACAACTATTGAATCTTTTAATTTAAAAATTAGTATCTTGACTGCTAGCGCTTATGTTTCTTTATGTCTTGGAGATTATATACTTTCCTTGGAACATGCAAAAACTCTGTTGAGCTTTAATAAGTTACCCGGAGCATATAAAATGTTAGGGAATTTGTATGCCGCTGAAAGTTTGATATTTATGGACAAAATCAGTGAAGCACTCGAGTATCTCAAGCTAGAAAATCTTCAAGATTTAAATATATTTATATCTGTGCCAGAAGTACAGGAGAAGGATAAAGAAAAAGCGGATGAAGTCATGCTAAAGTCTATAAAAGGTACATTTAGAAAATTATATACAAGTTGTTTCGAAAAGGAAAGAAATTGTTAATTTCTTAATTTTTGAAATTAACATTCTGAAATTTTAAAGATATTTAAAAGATATTTTTTTCATCTTTTGCTTTTCATGACATTTCACGTTTCCTCGTTTATTTTTGAATCTTCTAAAAATATCTTTAATATCTCACGAAGATCAATTTCTCGTTACATTATATCGTAGCGTGGTATCCGACAACAGTTTCTACAGGCACTGCTGTGTTACGTTACAATTTGGCTGTGGCTTATGCTATACGTGGTGAATTGGACAAATCTGGAGAAATTTTAAAGCAAGTTAGTATATTTGTACAAATATTTACAGAATATGTTAGGAAGTGCAAGCAATCCAAATTAATTTACTTTTTTTTATCAAATACTATTTCTGTTATAATTATGATTTTTATTTCAGATCTGGATATCAAAAGAACCAGACTGTGATATACCTATACAAGTGATAATGTTAGCTTTGTACATAGAACTACAATTAGGTAATATCTTTCTTCAGTAATATAAACATAAAATTTATCTAAAAGAACCAAAAACTAATACTTTTTATTTATTTATATTTCTTATATTTCGATTTATCATAATTGATATCCTCCATTTCTGAAAAATCATAAAATAAAAACTGCTTGTCTCTGTCGAATATTATGTGTAGGAAATGCATTGTATAAACATACACACACATACG